ACGTATTTTTACTCCTCGTAACTCTTTGTCGCTAATTTGTTGTGGACGACGAGGGAAGGATTTTTCTATTTCTTCTTCCCGTGTGAGTTCGAATCGCTCGACGCCAATTTGCTTGTTGGACGACGAGGGAAGATTTTTCTTTTGTTGATTTTTTCTTTTCCGCGTGCGTTCGAATCTTCGTCGCCAATTTGTTGTGGATTCCGAGATAAAATTCGGTCTCCAATGAATGACAAACGCAGGAATTAAATATAACAAATAAATGTATTTACACAATAATACAATGGGTAATACTGTTAGTAAATCCAGGAACGCGGTTAGTGGCAATAAGAATATATATATATACAGTCTCGAAGTAGGACGTTCTTAGAGTCGGGCGTGCTTGTAACTGTGACATCTACAAGCTGTTACCTCACACTATTACTCTACCTCCAACTCAATCACAATCTCTGTCTTCCCTGTATACTGACTGACTCTGGGTATTTAACGGCAGCAGTCCAAGTAACACTCTGGTCGAGTCTACTTATATGAAAAAGGGGTGGACCCCATAACATAAACAAACACATATTATAATATGCAACATACGCACATATACACACACACACTCACATATATATAATTAATGCAAATATACAATTTTTCATTTTGATTTGTGTTACTTTAAGCATGCAGACTCTAGAGTTTCTTAGACAGACCCTTTAACAATCACTCCGTCCACTCGTCAGGAGATATCAGTATTATATATATATATATATATATATATATATATATATATATATATATATATTACATGTAATCGATGGTTGGTATATAATCCGGGTGGATCCTATTAATATTAGCTATTAAGACTGATTCACAGAGAACTCGATGCATTTATTATAACAGAGCATATTTTTTACAGAAAAAATTACCTCAACATAGAAGATATACGCGGCTGTCATCATCCTCTAAGTGCTGATGATAGCTGCGTATCTTCTATGTTGAGGTAAATTTTTTTTGTAATTTTTATATATATATATATATATATATATATATATATATATATATATATTCTACAGACAAGAAGTTTGGGGCCAACCTTATTCTTGTTAAAAAAACAAACCTTGAAACGGTATATTTTGGTATTTTGTTAAAGTAAAAAAATAAAATTTCAATAACTACAGAGTATTTGTTTTCATTTTAACAAAGAATAAGCACTTATCTATAAAAATATTATCATACAACAGCATCAGATTTTGTTTTCATCAATAAAACCACCAACTGCCTTAATTATTACTTTACAAAATGATTGGCATTCTTTGAAAAAAAGTATATGACAGATCTTTCCAAGCATTCTTTAACAACTGAAAAAGCTCACGCTCACTCCCTGGGCATTCTCTTCAAACTCTCCTAGTCAATTTATTCCACACTAATTAAATGGGAATAAGGTCAGGAGATTGAGGTGGACAAGTTATAATTTCCACAATGTTATTATTTTTATGTGACTCGGTTATTTGAACATAATTTAGGAAAGTGTTTTTGATCATTGTCATATTGAAAAGTGTTTTTTTTCAATTATATATGGACCAGATAGTATAGCATGCATTTGCAAAATTGACTGATATTGTTCTTTTTTCTTGATTCCTTTGACCTGAATCAAATCTTTAACACTCTCTCTCCCTTCACGCCATAACAGACGTACCATCATGCTTAATTGTCGGAATCACACATTCATCCTTCAGTGTTGTTTCTGTTTTTTTTTCTCACATACTACGAAACAGTTCAAATTTTGACTCGTCTGTCCACAATACACTCTTTCAATGTCTATCTCATTTGATTTTTGCCCTTAATAGTCTTTTCTGCTTAACAGTAACAGAGGTTTCTTGATGGCTTCTTTATGGCTATACACCATCTGAGCACCGCTGGTCTGAGTCGATTGTGCACAGTTGAGAGCGACACTGGTTTCTGTCGAGTGGAATTATGTACAGCTGTCAACTCTGGAGCAGTTTTCTTTCTATTTCTTTTGCCCTCAGTAATCAAGGGTTTATTATTAGTTACTGTCAACATCGGCTTCTTGGTAATTTGTCTTTGAAAGTAGCCTTTTTAGAATAAAATTTCAATTTGTGCCCTCATCTCAATTTTGGCTTAGCTGCTTTGGTTTTGCCATTTTGTGCAAATTACTTCAAAATTAAAAAATAAATAAAAAACTAAGAAAATACTGTCGTAATGGCACAATCTTATTTTACTTGATATAAAGCAACATTTTGTTTTTTTAGTTAGTGGTGAATTAACGTTTAGGACCTGTATTAAAATTTAACTCAAAAAGTCTACTGATGGCTTAATGGTGAAAACAATATATAATGTTTCTCATACAAAAAAAAAAAATGATAATTTAGCAAAATGTATTGTGGATAAATAAATCCAATTTTGAACTTTTTGGTAGTAAGAGGAAATTGGAGAGAGACTGAAGAATAAGACCAAATACAGTGCTGTTCGATAAAAGTGACTCACCTGATTTTTTTACTAAATGTTCTTTTCTCCCATGAAACGAAAGTTGAGCTAAATTCAAAGGATAAGCGATCTAAAATCTGAAGAAGAAGCTTTGAAAGCTCTTTGAATTTAGCAGTAAGTACTGTCAAGCATCCGTTCAGTATAATGTTCTGAGGATGCTTTACTTTTCATGGAACTGGTTTCTTAAAACCTCTGTCAGAACGCTTCCCAGGTATTTAAACTTTCTGCGTTTGCTTGATTCTACTGTTCCCGATTTACCATTAAACCTTCGATTTTATTTGACTAGTAAAATTATCTAGCAAAATATTCCACTAAGACATAAAGATAGAATATAACACGGAAATACATTCCTCGAAAAATTCAATCTGATTCTCCTGTATAATGCAACGTCATAGGTTTTTTTTTTATGGGGAAAAACTAAAATATATGTCAATTTAGTGGGTCATGCGATGCCAGCTTTACTATGCCTGGAATGTATTAAATGATAAAATTTCAGTTTGCGTGACCCATTATATTTTGTTGTTCAGACTATTTTAGAAGTCAGTAAAGATTGCATTCTTACCTGTCTTTGGTCGCTCAAGGGAGGTCAAAGATAAAGGTTTCTGTCATGAAAATGTGTCCGTCGGCCGCATACATTGAGGCGGCCATTTATGAGTAGTTATTCTAGCCAAGCGAATCGTTTCTTAAAGTATGGCGAAAAGATCTATTTGAACTGTTAGACAAATTTGATATATTTGGGAAAGACATTAAAATCATCCAGAATATATACTGCCAGTATATATTCTGGGTGGCAGGGCATGAGAGTGATAGTAAGGAGATAAATATTGCTTTGAGCTATAAAGGAATAGAAAGTTGTGGAGAGCCATGATCAACCTACCTCACAATCTTGTGTAAATGAATGACAGGGCATGAAGTGGGAGTGATAGTAAGGAGATAAATATTACCTAGAGCTACAATTGATAGAAAGTTGTGGAGAGCCATGATCAAACTACCTAACAATCTTATGTAAATGGATGACAGGACGTAGAGTGGGAGTGATAGTAAGCGGGGTAAATATTACTTAGAACTATAAAGTATAGAATGCTGTGGAGAGCCATGATCAACCTACCTAACATTGTTGTGTAAATGGATGACAGGATATGAATGGGAGTTATAGTAAGGGTATAAATATTGCTTTGAGCTACAAGGGACAGAAAGTTGTGGAGAGCCATGATCGTTCTGGTGCTGAAGGGATACGGCACATAGAAGATGGTGACTATTTTTCTGTTTATTATAATTTTACATTTACTGTGATAAGTGAGCTTGACGTTTTTTAAAAATATTTTTGTATCGTACTTTAATTTTTGTTTCTAAGTTAAAAACTTCTTCATCTTAACTGAACATTATGTAATAAAAAAAAAATACAAGCTCCTTACTATTTCGGGCACAATTTAATATGAGGGATTGCTGAGTCATTCCCGAAATCAATTTTGTACGATTTCAAACAAGATGGCTGTTCATCAGCAAGTCCTTACGTCGCGCCATCTATGGACGTGTTTCAGGACATCATTTTGCACACATCACACACTTTATATGACGCGTTCAAAGGAGGAGGGGAATATTCAACAAAAAATCGAAATTTGTGTTTTTTTTTCACTGCAAATTATTCATTATATCATATCTAAGTATTTTATAAAAAATTGGAATAGATTACACAATATTTCAAGCTCGATTTAGGTTTATAATTTATAACCGTGCAATGAGATGAGGTAACATAAACCGGAGATTTGTCTGCGGAATATCATTACATTATTGTTACATAATTATAGGGAAATAATTTAAGGTTTTTTGGTCGTATATTAATTTAAAATATTCCTTTTTTACAGGCTTTATTTTTGAAATGGAATAAGATCATTCTAAATTTTAGAATTTCACTATTGCCCATCAAAAGGACTGGAAGAAAGCGATCTAAAAACAACAATGGAAAAGAGAGGTAACAAAGCGTAAACGAAATAACTCCAGTTTGTTCAACTTAGGAAACTTAACATTGTAGCCAAAGTATTCGAAAATGCTGCCAATAACAAAGGAGAAAATGAAAAATACCTAACCAGAGATCGAATATAGCGTCAATATATATATTATTTTTATTTATTTGTTATGTAACTAAATGCATAATTGTCAACAATGTTTCCGTAAAACTTTCCTGTAATAAATTCTTAATAAATATTATTATTATTATTTTACTTAAGTGTAAAGTAGTCCTACATTTACAATTCCTTAAGGCTAACCATGAAAGGAAATGTTGATCAAAACTGTCTAAAACCTTTAAGCGCGTATTGCTGCAAAATTATCAAATGTTGAATACGCCTCTCCATCGCCGGACGCGTCATATGCTGTAAGTGTACGTTTATTTCGTATAACAATGATATACGCGTACAATAAATTTAAAGGGCTTTATTTTTGTTACGTACACTTTTTGCTTTGGACTTCTTTCGAAAACAATTTAATTAATGCTCTTTAAAAAAGTTTTGTAGCCTACCTACGATCCTCTCACGTCACACCTACAATCATGTCACGTCTACGATGTTCTCACGTTATACCTACGATACTATCACACCTACGATCCTCTCACAATGCACCTGCGATCCTCTCACGACACACCTTCGGTCCTCTGTCGCGACTACGATGCTTACACGGTACACCTACAGTCTTCTTACGTCACGCCTATGATGCTCTCACGTCACGCCTACGTTCCTCTCACGTCATGCCTACGATATTCTCACGGCACACCTATGCTACTCTCATAACACGCCTACGATACTCTCATGCCACGCCTACGTTCCTCTCACGTCATGCACACGATTCTCTCACGTCATGCCTACGATATTCTCACGGTACACCTACGATATTCTCACGGCACACCTATGCTACTCTCATAACACGCCTACGAAACTCTTATGCCACGCCTACGTTCCTCTCACGTCATGCCTACGATATTCTCACGGCACACCTATGCTACTCTCATAACACGCCTACGATACTCTCACGGCATACCTACGATCATCGTACAGTACACCTACGCTCTCACGTCACGCCTACGATATTCTCACGGTACACCTACGATACACTCTTGACACACCTACGTTCATCTTACGTCACACCTGTGATACTGGAACCTATTCTAAACATCTTTTCGGCATTAAATAACCCAGTGAGGTTGATATGCCGTAAAACAAAATACACCAAACTAAACCAAAGAATATATATTCTATTCATACGAATCTATCGTAAAAATAGTGTCGACATTAAATAACCTATTGAGGTTGATAAGCCGTTAGATAAACAAACCAAGCAAGAAATTAAAATTGAAGTCTGATATGTCCTGGAAAGGGATATATTTGTTTGAAATAGCAAAGTGGTTGTTGACTACTGTAACCGAGTAGGACAATCTATCAGGTGACCGTAATCGACTGGTCCTCGTCGTAGTGGTAGGCAATAGGCGTAGGCAATAGACGTCGTCAACAGACGTACTCCATGTACCTCCACATCAGTCTGCATTTATGGCTGACAGGGGGAACCCAGGTGTATGCGTATTCATTGCATCAAAGTCAAAGAGGTGCCGATACATCGTGTCAATGACATTAATGAACGAGTATTTCTGTATTCCTCTGACACTTCGAATGAGTGAAAATACGTGCTTATACGTTAAACAGAAGGTCGAATATGTCCAGGTCAACTACACCTTGCATTTTATACACACACACACACACGCACATATATATATATATATATATATATATATATATAAATAAAGATAGATAGGTAGATAGATAGAATACTAATTATATTGCTGTGACCCTGCCAGAATACGACAGAAATTTATAATAAGAATCATGTATTTATTACTTAAATGTTCTCAAAAGGAAGAGACAAGTACGTACTTGTGTAGCGGTTTTGCCAGTTTGTTGTAATATTATTAATCGTTGATTAATCGTTGATGAGTGCGAGAGGGGGATATTTAGGTTGCGTTTTATGAGATTTTTTTCTCTCGAAAAAGTTATGATAATGATAATGGTAATATCAGCATTTTCCTTATAAGAAGACATTCGGGATCCATTAACTGAGAATCTAGTGTTACTAGAGTTACGCTTTTCTTTACAACTTGATCATCGGGCTGGGATCAATGTGTTGTATCTGTTCTCATTATCACTAATGATAATGGTAATATCATGCGTTTCCCTATAAGGAAATATCCGGCATTCATTGACCGATTAACCAGCATTGCTGTCGGTTGAACTTTGTAAAATTTTTCTCTTGAAACATTTTTCCGGAAAATAGGTTTACCAAGTCCACTAACTGTTATCGCTCGTTCCAGTACTGATGGGAGTTTCCTTCCTAACCTTTTATTTGAAATTAGACTAACCGTGACACGTCGGGTCACTGACGGTTCAGGTTATAAACACTGAAGTTGATTTCAACGTTCCATTGAAATGAAAGTTAATTTTATTAAGATTTGGTTAAATATTTCAATTCGTTCTTGTCTAGTTTACAAGTACATGTTTAACGTTTTACTGATTGTTTGCATTATAGAATAGAACTTCTGGGATAAACTTGAAGTTTAAATCAGATTAAGTTAAAATATTTTTTAATATGTCAAAAAATATTCTTAAATCATATTCACTTGAAAATATTTAAAAAAAAATTTTTTGAATATTTAAAATATTGTTTGTTTAAAGAAAGCTGAAATATAAATAATTACTCTACAAGCAACTGGACGAAACGGCTAAGTGGGATCTCTTTGTGTCTGTCTTTAACTTAAAAATATTTTAATTAAAAAAAATGCCTGTTTGAAAAAAGTTAATATAAAAATACAGTATAAAAAACTCGTATTTTTAAATCTTGTTCACCTAAAATATTTTTTTTAAAACAGATTAACTTAAAAAGATTTTTTTCAATATTTGAAATATTGTTTTAAAGAAATCTGAAGCATAAATAATTATCAGATGAGTTTAAATCATTATGCACCGGACGGACGGACGCTTCACGCACGCACGCACGCACGCACGCACGCACGCAATCACAAGCATTTAGTATTATATAGATAGATAGCGTGTCAGTCTAGGAAAACAATATTGTACATACAGTGTAACTCGGATATAAGAGACTCGGATATAAGAGAAACCCAGATATAAGAGAGATTTTCTCTGGTCCCAAGTTAGAGCCTGTGTTAATGTATATAAAATAAACTAAACCCGGATATAAGAGTAACCCGGATATAAGAGACTTCTTCTCCGGTCCCGACAACTCTCTTATATCCGGGTTACACTGTATAATACCACCAACATTTTATTGTCCTAATAAAAGTAAATGGGAATAAAATAAAAGGTGTACATAGAAGTATCTATACTGAGTTATACTTGTAAGTTAAGTGTGTGTGGAAAGTCCGACTGAAGAGTTTGGGAGACGTCTCCGACTCAAAACACTGAGTCGACAAGCCTGAATGTTTTGAGCCGGAGAGAGGCATCCTTTAAATCAGGTTCCACGTGTAAGGATTTACACAATAATATTGATTCACGTCATTTTCACAGGGCACCGATATACAAAAGTATTAAAATGATTACTTGGTTACTTATTTTAGTACATCATTTTACTTACAATTATTGCCACGTCACTTAAAAAAATACTCAGTGCATTATTTAAACAAATTAACCGTAAATAATCAACAGTACCTTTTTTATAGACATCTTATGATTACTTATATTATTTCCATCTTATATTATTGCCAACTAAGACTGTTTTACATTTTTCATAATTAGCGAAGTAATCGTTCTAAGTAACGCGGTTAATTGAAATAAGTGTGGCGTAATTTGTTGCTTTTCACATGATTATCCGTGGTGAGGGAAGATTTCCGTGTGAGCAGCCCTATTTCCTAAGGCTCTTTTTGGCGACGCACATGTGTCTCTGAATATATTTTTCCAATTAGTATTATTGGGGGATCAATTTATTATTTAATGACAATAGAAAACAGGTCCCCCATTTTATGTCCAGTAGAAGCTAATTTTATGAGTTTACCCATGCCATAAAAATAATTTCATTATGAGACGTGTCTCTAAATATTTTTTTTCATTTCGTAATATTAGGGGATCAGTTTATCACTTACTGACAACAGAAAACCCGTACCCCACTCTACGTCGTCATTTTTGGTCTAAATCCGTGAATTTCTTTTGCTCATCGGGGAAAAAATCTATCTATCTATCTATCTATCTATCTATCTATCTATCTATCTATCTATCTATCTAACTAACTTTTCATCTTTCTCTATCAATCTGTCTGTCTATCTTTTAATCTCTCTATTTATATAGTCTGTTTAGATCTATCTATCTATCTATCTATCTATCTATCTATCTATCTATCTATCTATCTATCTATCTATCTATCTTTTTACATCTCTCTCTCTCTATCTATCTATCTATCTATCTATCTATCTATCTATCTATCTATCTTTTTATCTTTCTCTTTCTCTATCTATCTTTTCACACCTCTCTCTCTATCAACCTAGTCTGTTTAGATCTATCTATCTATCTATCTATCTATCTATCTATCTATCTATCTATCTATCTATCTATCTATCTATCCAATCCATAATGTTGAATGTGTTAAAACTATTCAACTTTTTAAGAAGAAAAATCTCAAGTTGATGTTAAAATTTGCCGCAAATCATTGTTTATTTATTTAAGATGTAATATAGTCCATTATGACATGTCTCTAATTTGTACTTAGATACATTGTATTAATTTAAAAACAAATTCTAATATTGCAAGGTCGATCATTAATCGGGGTACACATTTATAGTAACGCTAGTAATAAAATAATGATAATGAAAATTCTTTTCGTGTAAATTGTAATATTAACAATAACTTTTGTGCGAATCGTTCGTTGGTCGGAAACTGAAAAGAGAAAAAAAAAAAAGACAACTTTGGTGGAAATTCTTAAGGAAAGAGTAAAAGTTAAAACTCCCTTCATTCTTATAATGTTAATGACTAGATTATCTCGCAAGCGAAATCCCTTCTCCCAAAACAAAATTCCATCAGAAAATGTAGTATTATAGTCGCATGAAATATCAACGTATATTTATCAGTAAATTAATTTCTTATTTATTTTTTATATTTTGGGCGGAGCGCGGATTAAAAAAATGAATAAACAATCCTCAATGATAGGGTGTGGCTACTTAATTAAGTGTAAAAACATTTTAACGAAGTCGCTGCCTACACAAGCCTTCTGTCACAATCGGAAAAATGTCCTATTTTTTTTTTTTTTAATAAGAGAGTCTGAATGCAAAATTTGTCTCGAGGTTCTTGGCGACATGATGTTTACTTTTAGTTGGTTGGTCCAAATAGTTTATTCTAGTTTTGCGACTGGATAGCATTAGGAGTGTTAAGTTCTAAGTTTTAACCAAATTAAGTGAAAATATAAAAAAAAAGATCGAATTTGATTGCATTATGACCGATGTCATGTGATCTTGTTTCTTTTCTTTTCTTTTCTCTTTTTTTTTTTCTTTTTTTTTTAATAAATCCTATCAAAATATGCGGTAGGAAATATACGTTTTTTTTTGTATATTAAGGTGTATTTATTTGCCAAAATTATCGCCGTAATAAATCCGACGCCAATTTTGATTTTAAAAATGCTGCCTTAATTAAAAGAGAAAGCAATTTTATAAAAATTTTATTTTGCTGTAAAAAAAAAAAAAAAATAAAATAAATAAATAAAATAAAATAAAATTTCGTGCATTTTTTTATGGCATTTTAAA